GATTTTTTGGCCATAATGGTCATCAGATAACATTTCTTAGAGCCAGTGTTTGTTCACTGAAATTCCTAGAGACAAGGTGCTCTTTCAGGATGCCATCCCCAAAACTAGCAGCCCTGGGGTCTATGATTAAGTTGCCTGCAGATGCATGAAGTGTTGAAGAGTCTTGAGAGTGAGGCTGTGCAGTGTAGCAGCCTCGGGGAAGGCCGGAGCCTACAGCAGGGGATACCTTCAAAGCATCCTGAGTTGGAGTCTTTTTGTCCTGCAGGCCTAAGTGTATACATAATTGATATTCTAGCTTGGGTTGGACTTTGCACAGCATGTATAAGAATAAATCCCTGACTTGAGCTGGGAAGGTGGCTCAGTGGTAGAGTGCTTGCCTTGCATGCATGAAGCCCTGGGTTCGATTCCTTAGTACCACATACACAGAAAAGGCCAGAAGTGGCACTGTGGCTCAAGTGGTAGAGTGCTACCCTTGAGCAAAAGAGGCCCAGGGACAGTCCCCAGGCCCTGAGTTCAAGCCCCAGGACTGGCAAAAAAAAAAAGCTGGTGCTGGTGGCTCACGCCTGTCATCCTAGCTACTTAGGAGGCTGAGATCTGAGGATTGCGGTTCAAAGCCAGCCCGGGCAGGAAAGGCCGTGAAACTCTTATCTCCGATAAATCACCAGAAAACTGTAAGTGGCGCTGTATAGCTCAAGAGCATTCACCTTGAGCTGAAGAGCTGAGGGACAGCACTCAAGCCCAGAGTTCAAGCCCCACGACCGACAAAAAAAAAAAAAAATCCCTGACTTGTTATGTGTGATGACAAAAGGAAATCTTTGGCCTTCAGGGCCTGCCTTTGGATGGCCACTGCTCTACTTGGTTCATGATGCTTAGCTCTAGCCATGCCGAGTGGGCTCAGGCCTCCAGCTCCAATAGCATGCAGCCAGATGGAGTAGAAGGTACTTCAATGGCTGTGCTCCCCGTAGGCCAGAGGAGTGGTACTGCTGCTGCTGCAGCAGCCACCAAAAGAGAACAGCTTGTAAATCCAAGCCTGGGATTTCCAGGAGCTCGTCATCCTTCTCATCTTCACACAGTGTTTTCAATTAGCACTCTTGTTTGCTTGAAAGGAGAGAGCGGGGAGAGCCAGCATGGAGGAGGCGAAAGCAAACAGTCATTGATGGGCCACGGTCTCACCTCCTGTGCACGGGGCAGCGCGGACTGTGGCTTTCCATTTGAAGCCTTTGCCAATAAGCTCTAGGCATTCGCTTAGAGCTCTGTCTTAAGGGTAAGGGTCTAAAAACTGGAGCTCGCAGAAGGGCCATAGACAAGCGAGGAATATTACCATTACCCTTGATTCTACTCTACAAAAAAAAAATACCTGGAAATGCTAGCTGCTGTTACTACAGCTTCTTGCAACCAGCATAGCTAGGCACAGCCAGTTCCCCCGCGCCGCCCCGCCACTGTCAAATGAAACAATTATAAAGGTTGTGATTAATACTAGCCTGGCTTCATTATACAAATATGTACGGACAGCTAGGCCTGATGTCCCCAGCACTCGTGGTGCAATTAATTTCCCTGACACGAGCTTGGCAGAGCTTTCACTCTTCTGTCAGGAACCAGGGAGGAAGGGAGGGAGGGAGGGGAGCTCCAGGTCCCCGCCTTTCAGAAGAACGTCCAGAACTCATAGAAACTGGATCCCACAGAGGGGAGAGTGCCCACAGCATGCCTACAGATGCCACGAACAGAGCGCGGAGGGAAACGTGCCCTCCAGAGGCAAGGAAAACCTTGCGCTAGAGCATTAGAGGTGGAGAAAAGGTTCTAGTCCTGCCCGGCGCCAGTGGCACATCCCTGTCATCCTGTCATCCTACTCAGGAGGCTGAGATCTGAGGATCACAGTTCAAAGCCAGCCCAGACAGGAATGTCCTCCAGACTCTTTATCTACAGTGAACCACTCAAAAACCAGAAGTACAAGCCCCACAACTGATCAAAAATTAAAAAAAAAAAAAGGGTTCCAGTCCATGATGACATTAGAGACTTCTGGCTGGCCATCTTCAGGTTAGATGGAAGAGTGCCTCTACTTCACCTTCCCTCTGTCTCGCTCACTCCTGCACTCCCAGAGACCCAGGAGGAGCCGCCGTGCCTTCCTGAGAGGTGACTGCTTTTATCTGAACCATTAAAACCCATGTGTTACCCAGTTCCAGTTGAATCAAATGATAAATACTTGGCTGTTTGAGAATTGGAGGAGGGGGGAAAAAAAACCCTTTGGGAAAAGGGCAGCAGTACTGACATTCAAAATGCAGGGCCTCTCCAATTGCCAGCTCCGCTGGTGCTCTGCCTCTTGAGACATGCCTTCAGCCCAGCTCTTTGATGGTCATTTCTGAAAAGTGAAGTTTCATGGAGTTTCCTGCCCAGGCTAGCTTCTGGCAGTGAGCCTCCAGATCTCGGACCACTGGGTAGGTAGGATTACTGAGCCCAACCAAAAAGAACATTTTATTGAGCATAACATATAACACATTCCTACACAGACAAATATCCTTAGATTTATGCTTGAAGAAAATTGGTTTTGATTGACCACGCAGTTCTTGGTGCTAAAGTAGGATACTAATTTCCCCTCATCAGATTGGTCTCTGATAGTTGCTCTTCTGTGTTCAGCAACGGGTGCTTTTTGTTGTTCCAGAATTGGAACTAGGCAGGCCACACTTGTCATGGAATTGTTACCCCATATACCTCAGTGAGGGTGACTGCGGCTTTATGAGCTCTCTGATTGATAGAAACTACTCCTTGCCTTAACCATTTTTTTTATTTTGGTCAATATTAGGATTTGAACTCGGAGCTTCAATTTCCTAAACTGGCCCTCTACCATTTGAGCCACTTCCCAGCCCTTTTTGCACTGGTTACTCCTAAGATAAGGTCTCATTGGAGGTTCTTTCTGTTTGTTTTGATTGGGGGTCAGTTATGGGCCTTGAACTCAGGGCCTGGGAGCTATCTCTGAGCTTTTTTTGCTCAAGGCTGACACTCTACCACTTAGAGCCACAGCTCCACTTCCATTTTTCTGGTGGTTCATTAGAAATGAGAGTCTCACGGCCTTTCCTGCCCAGGCTGGCTTTGAACCATGATCCTCAGGTGGCAGCCTCCTGAGTAGCTAGGATGACAGGCGTGAGCCACCTGTGCCTGGTCAGGTCTCACTTTTTGCCAGGGCCAGCCTGGACCCCAGTCCTCCTATTTACACTTCGAGCAGTAGCCCTCTTTTCTTTTCAGATGCCATCTTGCAACCACACACAGACACACACAAGTTGGTCTAGAACCACAGCCCTGATCTCAGCTTCCCAAGTAGCTGAGATAAACAGGCGCAGGTCGCCACTCCCAGCATTTCTTGAGTGTCCAGCCCCAACTAATCAATAGTTTTCTATCTGGTGTCTCCCCTCTCCTTACCCCCAAACTCTCCAGGTCTTAGGGATCCAAGATGTTCTGTGTTTTTGCTTGTGTGGAATGAGAAGCCATCTGTGGAAATTTGAACTGAGAGCAGCAGAGAAGGACTGAGGATTCCAGGGGGGAGGCTGGTGTGTGTGAAATACCCTCCCCCCAGGAGACCACAGGCCAGGGCGCGTGGGACTGACCTGCAGACCGGCCCTGTCCCTCCTGAGGCTGTGCGGCCCGGCCCCTCCCCTGGGACTGCCACCTGCCATGGACAGGAAGACTTCCCCTGTGGCAGTTCCGATTGGACCCCTCAATGGGTGGCACTCCAGATTTTTTGTTTGTTTGCTTTTTACTTAGCTGTTACTTTTTCTTACGCCTTTTGGGTGGATTTTTTTTTTCCTTTCCTTCACCCATACCAAGTTGTACATCTCCATTTTCTGACCTCTGGGCTTGGGCGCAGCAGGGCTCTGGAGAGCCTCTCTCATTGGATGGTCCCAATCTTCTCCCATCATCGCCCTGCTGAGCTTGGGAAGAAAGGAGCTTCTTGTTGACAGAGCCCTGTGGAGCAGGGCTGTGTTCCCAGCCCTCGTGGGCGCAGTGGGGGCCGGCCCTCAGCAGGCACCATGATTGCCGGCCTGAAGGAAGGCGAGCTTGCTCTCCTCCCGCCCCGTCCCCCCCATGCTGTTCCGCTGCGCTCCCGTGCAGTCCCGCCCCAGCCAGGCGCTCCTGTCCCCATCTGTTGGCAGTGTCTTGTGGAGCATTTCTTTTTGTGGAGGAAAAGGTCACTGGTAAACAGGAGGAGGAAGGGAGAAAGCCAAAACAAGCCCAAGATTACTCCAAGTGGAAATGGGGGGCCCTAGGGCTACTTGGGGTACACAGGTGGCCCAGGAGGAAATAAATGGCAGAGGGCATGGGGGCTTCCCGCATGCTTTGTCCTGTGGCCATTGACTGCTGAGTCTGTATGAAAAAAAAAAAAATCCCCTGCCTTCTCCCTCACCTTAGTAAAAGCAGAACGGGCTCTGCCTGGCCTGGGGTCCTGCTTTCCTCTCCGCTCTGGGGTACAGGGGTAACGTCGGCAGCCAAGCACCGATTATCTGCTCTCCCCCCCCCCACCAAAGGCACGGGGCGGCATGCAGCCCTCTCATCACTGTGTCCTTCCTGGTGCAGGAACGGATGTCCTCCCCCCTACATCTCACGTAATCCAAGGCCCCCCCGCCCGGGGGCACCAACAATTAAAAACAACAACTTTGTGCACTGAAGCCCACATGCCAGCACCTGGCAGTTGGGGGGCACTGAGCACCCCTTGGTTAGGTAGTGCTGTAGAGCCAGGCAGCTCCACTGCCAGCGTTTCCCCCTCTCCCGGCTCTCATCTGCTGTTTTGGCCACGTCTTAAGAGTCCTTGACTGCGAAGGCCAAGCTGGAACTCAGCGTCTGTAGCCGCAGGACAGCCCCGGCTGCCACCCGCCAGCTGCTTCCTGTCCTTCCCTCCAGCCTTCCACCCCTGCTACTGCTGCTCTCCCCCGCGGGAGCCGTTCCTGCAGCCCTGGTGGCTTGGCTGTGGTGACTGGGAAAGCCTGTGCCTTCTGCCATCCTGTCCGTGACCGGGCTCATTTGCATATTCAAATGTGTGACTGGATCCCTGGGGAGTCGTCAGAGTCCAGTGCCAGCCCTCCGGGGGCACCGCCCCTGACCCCACCTCGCTGGGTGTCAGCCGTCATCACTGCCAGATTCTGGGGAGCAGGTCTGTGCACCCCCCCCCTCTCCTCCACCCATAAGGGACAGAGACTTCTTGTTTTCTAGCAAATTCCTCGATGTGACCACATGTCCATGGTTCTCTCAAGAAATAAGCTTGTTGGCTCCGAGTGTTCACACATTTCCCTTTTTTATTTGTCTTAAAACAAGGAGCAGCTGAGGAAAAGGGAGACAGAGGTGTTTTGTTTCTGACAAACTTTAGAAGAAGAAGAAAAATGTACATGTGTTTGGGACTGTTGAAATGCCAAGTTTTCCCTACAAGTGTTTTTGTAATTAAACTTTTGGTTTTCTTCGTTGTCTTTTTTTTTTTTTTTTAAGAAGTTGATGGTGGTTGCTTGACATTTGTCTCATTAAAACTTTTCTATGTGGAACCCACCGGATCCGGTTTTGCTTGCATGGTAAAGAGAAAAAGTCCTGCTTCTGCGTTTTCCCCCCTTGAAGACTCAGCTCCACATGAATCATCAGGTTGGGGCTTTGGAAACAGCACCACATTCATTTCACTAATTGCCCATTCACAATGTGTCTTCACCTGTCTGATGATGCAGCTCTTGCAATAACAAAACTGCAGTGACAATACAGTGATTTCTGACTCATGTTAGGAGGCAGTGGTTACTCTGGAGTCGGCTCATAGGATGCCCTGGCAGTTGATCTTTTGACACATGGCTAACAACTTGCTTTTTAAACATAACTGCCACTATCCAGGCATTGGTGGCTCACGCCTGTCTGTAATCCTAGCTATTCAGGAGGCTGAGATTGACAGTCACAGTTCAAAGCCACCCCAGGCAGGAAAGTCCCTAAGACTCTTAACTGCAATTTAAAAAAAAAAGCCAGAAGTGGAGCTGTATTTCAAGTGGTAGAGCACTAGCCTTGAGCAAAAAAGCAGCTTAAGGACTCAATCAAGAATGTTTTAAACTGACTGGTTACCTGTGTCTCCCCAGCTGTTTTGTGTGTGGTGCTAGTACTAGTCCTCAAACCCAGGGCCTAGGTGAAGTCTTTCTTTGCTCAAGGCTGGCACTATACCTCTTAGGCCACAGCTCCACTTCCAGCTTTTTGCTGGTAAATTGGAAATATTAGCCTCACAGATTTTCCTGCCCAGGCTGGCTTCAAACTGTCATCCTCAGCTCTCAGCCTCCTGAGTGACTAAATGTGAGCCTTCGGCATGGGGCTTGAAGCTTCCACCTGCTTGTAAAATCATCAGGGCAGGGCTGGGAGAGCCACGGCCTGCCCAGGGAGCTGGCTGGCTGGGTGGCCTCGGGCGGGCTTTGTTGGTTTGAACTCCTTTCCTCTCTGACACAGCGCATGCCTCAGCTGTCTTCTAGTGTTGTTACGACAGAATCATGCAACAAACCACCACGCTTGAGAGGGTTGGAAGTGCCAAGGATTATCCGGGGCATGAGAGCTGGGATTGCATTTGACTATGTTTAACAGAAACTCACATCAGCCAGGGCTCAATATGAACTGTGAGCCTCACAGAGGAATGTGAGCCAAGAGTAGCCTGTCCAAAACCAGCAGGCCAGCCCCTGTCTGGGCCACAGCATGGTTTTTTTTCTCAAGGTCACCTCACGGTCCAAAATAGCCACTTGGCCAGCAGCCAGCAGCCTGAGATTCCTGGCAGCAGAAAGAGAAGAAAGCAAGGACAAAAAGGACAACCGTGGATTTCCAAGAGGCTTCCTGGAAGTCCTACGCCACCCTTGCACTTAATTTGGCCGGAATGCGGTCACGTGACTCACGCAGCATTAGAAAGGCTGAGAAATGTCATCTGTGTGTGGACCCAGGGTCCTGATAATACCCAGGGGCCAGTCAAGAAAAGGGAGGGAATGAACATGGAGCCAAGGGCCTGGGGGGTTCATCACACATGAGCTTGGGATTCCACTGGCCTGCTGGATTGGTGAACAGGACGCATTTTTCCTCCTTTTGCCTGGTGGTCGTTTCAAAATGATCCTGTTAGCTGGGTGCTGGTGGCTCACACCTGTCATCCCAGCTACTGAGGAGGCTGAGATCTAAGGGTCACAGTGTAAAGCCAGCCTGGGCAGGAAAGTCCGTGAGACTCTTATCTCCAGTGAACCACCAAAAAAAAGCCAGTAGTGGAGGTATGACTCAAGTGACAGGACTTTGAGCAAAAAGACTAATGGACAGTGAGCACTAAGATCCTGAGTTCAAGCCTCAGTACTGGCACATAGAAAGAGGAGTTGGGGGAAGAAAGGCTTCCTTGGCACATTTCCCCTAACTCTTTGTCCCTCAGAAGAGAGGAAAGAGATAAAGTGAGAGGGGAGGGAGGGAGGAGACAAAGCTGAGTGCTGGTGGCTCATGCTATCATCCAGCTACTCAGGAGGCTGAGATCTAAGGATTATAGTTCAAAGCCAGCCCAGGCAGGAAAAATCCATGAGATTCATCTCCAGTGAACCACCAGAAAACCAGAAGTGAAAGCTGTGGCTCCAAGTAGTAAGAGTGTGCTAGCCTTGCACTCTTACTAAATTGACAGTGTCAGGGCCCTGAGTTCTCAAGCCCCATGACCAACAAGAAGAAAGAGAGAGAAAAGAAAATGACCATACCCTTTCTGGGGACTTCTCTCGCCCTCACCCCTAGCCAGCCAGGAAACAAGTAGCTTCAGGCTGAGCTGGCATTTCCTGCTCCCACCTTTCCTCTTGCAACAGCTGGTGGCTAGGCTTGTTTGGTAAAAGCCAGCATAAGCAGGTGGTTGTCCTGCTTCCCCGGTGTCGGTGGCCTTTGGCTGTTCAGCCTGTGCCGGATCCGGACAGCCCGGCGTATCGGCAGGAGGGTGAGGATGTGCACACATTGTAGGGCTGGGACACCAAGCGTCTCTTCCTGTCATTGGAAAGGATTTCCTACCTTGCAGAGTTCCAAGTTAGGGCCTCTCTCTCTCCCTCTCTCTCTCATTTATTCACTTTTGACACATAGCTTGTGCCCTGATAGGTACTTTACAATACCTATTGACATAAACACCAGCTTCTATGCTAGCTCATGAAAGAGAGAGGGGTAGAGAGAAGGATGCGGTGGAAGTGTGTAGCTGTGTTCATCTAGAAGGCATTTGGACTGTGTACAGGGCAAGGAACCCACATCTTAAGTTCTCTTGTCACAAAACACTGAAAGGAGGAGGCCCAAGAACATAGGAACTGGCTTTGGGAAGAGAAGAGCATGCAATGTGAAGATTTTTGTCAACATGAAATCGGGAGATTGTGCGGGAAGGATGGCTGGGTAAAGGTACCATAGTCCCAGCTCCAGCATCTGAGGCCAAAAGGTCATCTGATCAGCTCAGTACTTGAGGTTAGAAAAGTATTATTTTTTTAAAAAAGTAGCTGGGCACCGGTGGCTCATGCCTGTAATCCTAGCTACTCAGGAGGATGAGATCTGAGGATTATGGTTCAAAGCCAGCCTGGGCAGGAAAGTCCATGAGACCCTTATCTCCAATAAACCACTAGAAAACCAGAAGTGGCACCATGGCTCAGGAGGTGGAGTGCTAGCCTTGAACTGAAGAGCTCAGGGGCAGCGCCAGGCCCAGAGTTCAAGTCCCACAACCAACAAAAAAGAAAAAAGTATTTTAGATCTGAGGATCGTGGTTCAAAGCCACATTGGGCAGGAAAGTCCATGAGACTCTTGTCTCAAATTAGCCACCAGAAAACTGGAAGTGGCACTGTGGCTCAAGTGGTAGAGTGCTCACCTTGAGCTGAAGAGCTCAGGGACAGCGCCCAGGTCCTGAGTTCAAGCCCCATGACCAATAGAAGAAAAGAAAAATATGTAGAAATCATAGTTTCTGAGAGTCTAGTTCTAGTAGATGGCAGGTTATATTGAGTTTGCATAGAGGCAAAGTTAGTGTGTGTGCATGCGTGCCACTACTGGGGCTTGAACTCAGGGCCTGGGCACTGTTGTTTAGATCTTTCACCCAAGGGTTTAGACACGTGGCTGGGTTGGTATAGCGCCAGCTAGTGAATAGAAGCACGGGTACTGAATTCTAGTACTGGTGTCCAACAACAACAAAAAGATCTTTCACTCAAGGCTGACACTCTTAACACTTGTGCCACACCTCCACTGCTGGCTTTCTGCTGGTTAAATGGAGATGAGTCTCTCAGATTTATCTGCCCAGTCTGGTTTCCATCTGCAATCTTCAGATCTCAGCCTCCTGAGTAGCTAGGATTACAGGTGTGAGCCATCAGCGCCCTGCTAGAGAGGTGCACGTAATTGTTGAGGAGTGAAAGAATTACTTGACTCTCACCTGACAAGAGGCAGCTGTTACATAAAGGCTAGAAGGAAGGGATCAGAGTATTGAAGGACAAACAAGTAACTCAGCTAATGAGGACTTTATCTCAAATGTAAATGAACTGTTTTAAATTCATTCTCTATTCACCCTGGGAATTGAACCCATATCTTTGCTCAAGCTTACAGGCATGCTGCCAGTGAATTATCTCCCCAGTCTCTGGTAGAGTTTTTATATGGATTGAATTAGTTAATCCATAGGATAATAACTGTCCTGAGTAGAAGACTCTTAAATATTAGAATTTATGGAAGATGGAGTGGGGGATGACAATTAGACACCTGCTACAAGCCAAGCCTTTCTATTCTACTTTTCATACAAATTATGTCATTCGATTCCTAGCACAACTTTAGAGGTGGACTACTGTTGCCAATCTTGCAGGTTCAGTAAATAAAAGAGGATGGTAAATACCTTGTAGTTATTTAACCAGAAACAGGGCTGGGCACTGGAAGCCATACCTGTAATCCTAGCTCTACATAGAAGGCTAAGGTCTGAGGAGCAAGGTTCAAAGCCAGCCCTGGCAGGAAAGTCTGTAACACTTCTTTTTTTTTTGGGGGGGGGGACGGGGAGTTGTTGGACATGGGGCTTGAACTCTGGGCCTGGGCACTGTCCTTCAGCTCTTCAGCTCAAGGATAGCGCTCTACCACTTGAACCATAGCTCCACTTCTGGTTTTTTCTGCTTATGTGGTACTGAGGAATCCAACCCAGGGCCTCATGCATGGAAGGCAAGCACTCTACCACCAAGCCACCTTCCCAGCTCAATGACACTCTTATCTCCAGTGACTCACTGAAAAGCCAGAAGTGACATTGTGGCTCAAAGTGGTAAAGTGCTAGCCTTGAGGAAAAGAGTCCAGGGACAATGCCCAGGCCCTGAGTCCAAACCCTACAACTGACAA